TAGCTTTCAACGCTGACTCTGCCTACATCCCCTTTGCTGACAGGAGATGTCATGTGCATCAATAATCAAAAGGGGTGTTCATTGAGAGCATTCCTACTTACCAGGGCTTGTGAATCTCGTGGAGACTCTGCTGATCGACCGAAATCTGTGATGAGTTACTATCGCAACCATGGGGCCCCAACAACCGAGTCTCAAGAGGGTAAAGTCATAACGAGAATTAGCGTCGGCACCTCGGGATCATCACGAAGTCCCATTTGTCATTTGTTTCTTTCCAGGATCACATAGTGGAGAGAACAGGGCTCGTCATTGTACTGGGAGTGCAAAGCATGAACGGGGACCTCGTTGGCGACAAGAACATGGGCTCTATCGGAGCCACGTCCGGGGCTCGTGTAAGTGGCCTCATGGAGTTTTTACCCTCAGGTAGTGCGTCGAATACATACATACTCGAGCCCTAACGAGTCAGGTCTTTGCATCAAGTTGAGTCTTAGAGCTGAAGCTCATTTCGTCCCCTTGGGAGCTATGGCACTGACTTATACAGTAATGCCCCCTGCTTTTGCAACACAATTCCTGCACTATGGTAATGGCACAGAATCTTCGCAATAACTAGGCATTTTGCAACTACTGATGCCTCACTTATATACAAAACTGGGGTTCCAAGCAGCGAAAAAAAGTTGCACTAACACGGTCAATTTGTATGTATTTACAAAAAGAGGGGCTTGCAAAAGCAGGGGACATTACTGTACTGCGTATTTTTCTTATCCCGTCGGCCGGAAGTACTAAAGTCGACGAAGCTACATTGGTAGCTTAATTTCCATGAAAACTCTTCAACTGAAGGGAATTCTGAAAAGCCTGCTAGCCGAAAAAGAACCCAGCAACGTTCCACATTTCTTTCCAACAACAGCCGATGACGAGAGCATGATGGTTCTTTCGCATGAAACTTTTTCGGCATTGACGAAGTTGTCGCTCTATTGTACCTTTAAACATCGCCGATGCCGCTGCAAAATTTACCTGTCACAATGGCTTGATGTCACCTCAACGAACCCAAGATCGTCATGATGCTTGGCAGCCACAGTCCGGCCTGACGGGTTACTGAACTCCGTTTCAGATCATGATATCTACCTAGCGAATGCGACACTGTAACCTTGCCTTAACTACATTAGATACCATTCCGTCAGTACCACTGTACCAGAGGCCTTAATGACGATCAGATATCGTAAGTCCCAATTGGAGATATACAGCCGCAGACTTCCACTTTTGATCAACGGAAGCAACACCTCCGTCGACGAAAGAGGACGTTGTCTTTGAAGGCAGTGTTCCTGATCGGGACGTGCTGGTTCCACGCCGGCCAGTGCGGCACGGGGTACGGGCACGCAGTTCGGATAAGGTCGTTTCGACCTCCAACTACACTTTTGTCGTTTCAACGGCTTGGGATAGTGGGGAGAGTTTCTGATGTGTCATTTTCCATGCTGTCTCGTTTCAACTGTCCCCAGGTTTTTACACTACGGTTTAGGGAAACCAGGATACTGGCGCCGAATGGATTGGAACGGACTAGAACTCCGGCTGGAGGTATTTCACCGAACGAGATACCGTCCCAATGGCACCATGTCGTCTGTTAGGTCGGCCGTCGGCGCCGCAAGCCTCTTCACCTTTGGACATGACTGCCCAGATAACCAAATAGCGCGGTGGTCCGCTTGTACTGGTTTTGACGTTTGACTATTCTGTCTTCGTCTTCGAAGACGCTCAGAGAAACTGGACTGACGCCCCGAACATTTGATTTATAAAAAGGGGCCGGCCGGTGGGGGTCCGGGGTACCCTAACGGCGGGCGGCCGCTGAGCGATGGCCCTAGGCGGCAGGGGTTACAGTAGCGGGAGCAAAAGGTCCTCGGCTGCAATTGCTGTGACAAAGGATATTGAAGTTCTTCAGTTCAAGGTAAGTTCTGGCTGCCCTCTGTATTTGCCCGCACAATAAGTGCTTGTCGACTGAGTCGCCATGTTTACGCCAACACAAAACCACGTCCACGATCACGGATTGACTAACTACTATGTAGTGTAAATGCTCTCCTCCAAACCTTTGGAACCCCACTGACATGTGAGCCGGTCTCGTGGGTCCTGTGAGCTCCGACTAGCCGGCCGACGATCGGCCGTTCGGCCACTCTGCCGCATTGCCGTTTTAGCGAAGTCTTCTGTGCAGCATCCTTTCAGGCCATCACTCCTCCGAGAAGCACGCCGCAATGCTACCACGGACGGACTGCTGGAAACGTCAACGAAGGATGTGATTCGAGTGACTGCCGCGCAGGTGAGGCCGTTCTCGCGACTCTCACCGGTGGCCAGGGTGAAATTGCCGATACTGTTTGGCGTCTTGGTACAATATGTACGTTGGCTGGATTGACTACCTCTAGAAACATACACATGTTGAGATTGTTGATCACTTATTATCTACCCCAGACAGAGCCTACCAGGTTCATTACCCGGAGGATGCTCGGTATTTCCAGGGGAATACCACTGTTCATCTGTTGGGGTTCATGGCTCGTGCTGAACCCATCGCCTAGGGTTAGCGCTCTACTGTTGGTTCAGGTACGTTGAATATCCTCGACGTCTCTCCTTGTCTTCAACTTGAAATTGCCACTGCCGCCGCACTGAACAGGTTCCAGCGGTGTGAACAAATCGGCACAGATTTGCTCGAGCCGATTTATATTGGCTTGGCTTGTGTAGAAGAATATATGGTTTAGCTTTTACCTACAGCCCCTGATTCTACAAGCTGAATGAGTGCTTCAGAGGCAGGCACCGACACAGCTGAACACCCGAGGCGAGGGCCCACGGTCTGGGTATTGGCGACAACATCGTTTCCAAGATATCCACGTCGATATCTGTGCGGGCGCCAAAGCGGATGATCTGTGAGAGGCGCTGAATCTCATCTTTCGAACGGGCCCTAGACGCCGTCCGTACCAATGGCAGCGATAGGAGAGAACCCCAACAGATTGGACTGGACCGCCTAAGGGTCCAGTCCAAACAGCTGCTCCTTGGCAAGCTGCCTTAATGGGTCCCTAGACTTAAATCTGGATTTTGGAGAATCCGAGACATCCTAGATGGCGAAGTGGACTCCGTACAGTAGATGTCTCACAAGCGCTCGCTCTCTATCTACACCAATGCCTCGCTTCAGTCGCTTGCCACGAGAACAGACGAGCGAGTGTTCGGAATATCCCCACAACTACCTAGTCTGCACAAAAGCAAAAAATAGGGGTCCTGTCCTGGCTTTACAGGAAGGGGAGTGGAAACTCCAGAAGAGTGGCATCTCTCGTTTAACAATCCATACCGAGAGAGAGCTCGGTTATTCTCACAGGCCTCACTGCTGTACATGTATCTAATCTGCTGCTAACAATCAACATTTGTGGACCTTCCTTCGGCTCGTGCTCTAAATTGGTCCCTTGAGCTTTCACACGGTAAGTGTACCTCAGTACCGTTAATCCCTGGGGACTACCGAAACCTGGGTCAAGTCCCATTCACCACTCACCGAGCCGAGGTGCAGGCGAATAGTTCCCACATGAGGAAGGTGTGTGTCCAAGGGGTGTCCACCTAGCCACCAGAAGAGAGGCCCCCGGGGCCCGGAAACTAGAACAATGTCGATCAACCATGTAATCGACCATGGGCTACAATCATATGAAGATCAAACATTTGAGCTACTTTATACTGACACCGCCAAGGTCCATAGTAGTGTACATACCGTATGTCTAGAACCCCTGGGCTAGACGCCTCTACATTGAGGCCTCACTTCATGCGTGCCAGGTAGGTAGGTTACTCTATCTACATAGACCACGCTGGTGTAGTGTAGGTATCGGGGACCTCAAGGCGAGTGTTTCTCAACAAAAGATTTCCGACGACAGCATCGACACAAAACTGACTTCCACTTGGGTATGCCTAGCGGCCTCCCACTTGGCTGTGGTATGTACAGTTACTTGCTAGGGGTTTAAAATGATCCGGTTACCATTCTTCCAACGACAGCCTGGTTATGATACGATCTGATAACCGCAGAGATGGAAGACAATAGGCCATACTCCCTTTTAAGACGATCGTCTTTGTGGAATCTAACGTGTATACACTACTCTGCGGAGAAACTTCTCGGCATGGAATTTGCATCGCCTGAGTGAGTGTCTGCTAGGAACTAGGAACTAAAAACGTACGGCCCTTTACCAAATCCTGGATCAAAAGACCATTCAGTCCAGGTGAAGTGCCTCGACATGTTGCAGTGGTACAAGTATGATCGGATTGCTTTAGAGGCTCTACTTACCTAATCGCAGTATAGCTGCTCGGCTTGAGTTAGAAGAAACTAAAGCAACTGCGACTCCAGGCTTCTGGAAAACATTGTCGAAACTCTCCTATAGGCTGAGTAAGGGCAACATTGTCGTCTCCCCTCGGGTCTCGACAATCTCCCCTATCCCCATGAGAAGCAATCTGGACACCGTTTCACAGCGCACTGTGCATACTTCACTGTTGGAAGTAAGAAAGAGCTTAAAAGGTACGGTAGCCGTACAGCCTCATTCTAGCAGGAAGGTCGAAACGGATCGAGAAAGAGTAGAAAAAATGAACTGGGCAGTGTACCAAGTGTCACTTTGAAATCCGACATGACGGTTACAAACTCTGTTCGCGATAATTGGATGAGTCAAGTCCCAACCTATGCGATGTAGTCTACCAATCTTCCTAACAAGGTTTCCTGTTTGCCAGAGCCCACATGAGAAAACAAATTGAAGCTGCTCAAGACTCAATCAAGCCAACTCCCCAGCGCGTTGATTGGAACTTTGAGTACCAATGACTGGATTACTCTCCAAAATCCAACACGAAACGATACAATTTCTATCGATGGTAACTGGCTAGGAAAGACAACGTTATACACAACTACGGAAGCATGCACCAAGCCCTGGGTCATGGTGTTGTTTTTCATCTCCTTTTTCTTGACGGGCTTCCCCATCTGAGAGCCCCCTTGAGGAAGAAAGAGGTCTACAATTCTACGTAGACGAGTCCTCTCCCCCAAATTTGTTGTCCCTCCCAAACTCCATGATCTTTGAATGCAATTCCCCACTACGAACTGCCCCATAAATATCCGACGCCATGGTCCCAAGAATTCTATTCCTTGCCCACAAGTCCGCACCGTCATCCACGTCCTTGGAACTTAGTTCTCTCTTGCGTTTGATCCTCCCCTTCAGTCTCTCCATCTCCTCTAGCAAAAGCGGCGGATGGTCAACCACGCCCCTGTTCACCGGGATCTTCAAGTCCTTCCTGACAAAGTTGTAGATGACCGTAGAGCCACGGCTGAGCCATTGTCTGGTGTCCTGCCGACCCTCGAGCAAAGCCTTTCTGTGGTCATCATAACAGTCCGACACCACTCGGGCGGTCTTCAAGTGGTAGGCCTGCAGATCACTGATGCTCAACATTGAGCCTTCGTGCTCCATCCCATAGTTAAGGAGTCCAAGGGCGTCTAGAGCAGACTGCTTGACCGCCACAGAAGCTCGATCTTCCACATCCAAGTGAGCCAGCTTGTCCCATTGGTCGAAAATGTTCTCCGATATCTTGCCGGCCAGCCTTTGGCTTTTAGTAACGTCGTCTTGGGATAAGTGGCCATTACCGTTCTCTTTCTCTTTACCCTTGGACTTGGGCTCCTTCTCCGCAGCAATATCAGAAAGAACACCACTCCCAATACGCTTTGGCAGGTCCTCCCGAAACTCCATCTGCAGGACCCTCAGGTCCAGCGCCTGGCAGAGTACATAGATGTAGGTGGCCGCCATCAAACTGACAACTTCTACCGCCTCCAGAGCATACCGAGCTGCAACCAAAGCCATCGAATTGACACTCTGATTGTTTAGTTCGGCCACTTGGACATGCGAGCTGACCGGCTTGGCCAGGTATGCCAGCTCAGCCATGTACGCGGCCATGTTGACGTCAAAGCCCTTGCACGTGTAACTCTGACTTGGCTCATCCGCCGACAGGTTAGGTGGCAGGCCCTTGTTGGTCATGTTGTTGAGCAGCTCCGAGCTTTGCGCGTAGAGCAAGCGGCCCAGGTTCTGCAGCGCCAGCATAGTCTTCTCCATGGCCGATGTAATTGCCATGGCCTGGAAGTTGCCGCCGTGGTGGATGGATCCGGAAGCAGGGTCAATCAGGGGGTTGTCCGTGGTTGAGTTGAGTTCTGTTTCCACTTGCCTCGTGGCGAGCTCCAAGTCCTCGAGTTGAGGTCCGATCCATTGCGGCGCGGTCCTGAGAGCATATCGGTCCTGAGCTAGACCCCGGACCTTGGCCGGTTCGCCGTTAGAACCGTTGTGGGACTCCACAGGTGCTGCGATCTTAGACCTGGTGAGAAAGGCTAGAATGTTGGACGCTGCTTCTGCTTGACCTGGGTGGGGTCGGACAGAGGAAATGAAGGGATGGTAGTTTGAAGCTGTTCCGGCGAGGGCTTCAGTACCCATAGCAGTGAGGAGCTGGACAAGGATGGCCAGCTGATTGGCTTCCTGGATGACAATGGAGGCGGTTGCGCAGGAGGGTGCGGTGCCGTTGGTGATGCCCAGTCCTTCTTTGACTCGGAAATGCACCGGTTTTAGGCCGGCAAGAGGCAGAGCCCTATCAGCTGTGAGGATTTCTGTCTTATTGCCCGGTCTTTTGACCTTGAGATAAATGTCCTGATTTCCCTCAACCGCGCCGGCGATGTAAGAGAGGGTAGATAGATCACCTGAGGCCGAAATACTTCCTCGAAGCGGGATGATGGGAATCATGTCCTTGTCCAAGAGCTTCATGATGCTTTCCATAACCGAGAGCCGGACGCCCGAGTGGCCTCTGATCAGAGAGTTGCATCGTATGAGCATGGTAGCACGAACCACGGGGCTTGGGAGAGCATGGCTGCGAAGAAGCTCGTTGACGTAAGGCTTTCCTGTCCGGGAACATATCCCATCACGATCCTTGTCGGCGTATGTAAGGATTCCAACGTTGAGGTGCTGGATTAATGCGTTCTGTAGACGCATCAAGGGCTCGGCTCCTACGTCGGTTCGAGTGTCGGCACTACCACCAAAGCCCGTGTTGACGCCGTAGATAACGTCACCTGCTTGGATCCGTTCCTCGAGTATCGCTATGCTTTGATGGATCGGTCCGGTGTTGGGTGAGACGTGTGCCTTCGCGCCATGCCTGTTGTTTACGGACTGTCAGTGACTGTCTCTATAGAAGGCCACCAGATGGAAGTCGTGGGGACCATACATTGAGACGGCAACGACATCGGCAATTGTCAGGTTGGAGCCCGAGACCTCGATGAATTGCTCCGGCTTCTCGAGGTCCTTGAGACGTGCCCAGGAAGCGTAGGCAGCTTGCGCGTGGGAGTTGGCCGCGTCGGACATGCTGACAACTTTGGTCTGTCCGTCGTGAGTTTTGATTGTTCTGCCTTGGTGTTCGGTCGCGTGTCAGCTGTAGCAACTTAGAAGGCACACGCCCTTGTGTACCAGACTTTTCTGGTGGTGACTTTCCACTTCTGTTCATAGAAAGTGGTATAAATGGAAGGAATGTGTCTGAACCAGGGGGCAAAAGAGGCCTGGACTACTGGGCGTTTGTTACCTGTCCGTTGGCGGCGTCGTTCAGTGTCGTTCCTGCCAGTCAATCACTGCCGCCACTGGTAAAACAATAGGCAGGGGCAACCGGCATGCAGATACCCGCTCGTGGTAGTCGCAACTCCGTGTTCAATTGGAAGCAAACAAGATGAAACAATGCCTTACAGCTTGTTGGTACTGTCTTGTAATCTGTGTTATCGCAACTCTCACCAATCGCATGGAACACCAAGACATTGGGTAACCAACCCCTTATTAACAACAACATGGAGGTCAGTCTATTAGTTTGCGTAAAGGCATCATTAAATATGCTACACTCTCTACCTCGATCCCCCACTGTTCTCCTCTTCTCTGTCTGTCCCGCCGCATGACACACAAGATATCTTCCCACTTCCCTCTATCCTAGAACCCCCATTCTCTCTATGCAACTGACGCACCCGGATGTGGTTGTACTACAGTGTCTGACTCACTCTCTTACATACAGGCGCCGCCATCAACACCGAGAACCTTACCGTTGATCCACTCGCCATCCTGGGAAGCCAGGAAGCAGACAACACGGGCAATGTCGATGGGGAGACCGACGCGGTGGAGCGGTGACCACCCAGCGGCATACTCATCGACACCCTCGTTGTCGAGCTTGTCGCCGTCGGGGATATACTCCCTGCACACGGCGTGGTACATGTCCGTCTTGATACCGCCGGGAGCGACGGCGTTGACGGTGATCTTCTTGTCTCCAAAGTCTGGCGTCTTTTGTTAGCATTGATCCCTGAAAGACCAATAATGATAGACACGCACCAATAGCCATGCAGCGGACAAAGGTCTCGATGGCACCCTTGCTAGCAGAGTAAACAGCGTGCTTGGGCACACCCTTGGCCTGGCCGGTGATGGACCCCATCAGGATGAGGCGGCCGCCAACCTCAAGGTTCTTGTAGGCCTCACGAGCAACAAAGAACTGGCCACGGGTGTTGATGTTGAAGACGCGGTCATACTCCTCCGGAGTGACATCCTTGACGTGGCCGAACGAGACAACTCCCGAGTTGGAGCACACAATGTCGAGCCTGCCAAACCTTTCCTTGCCCTCACGGAAGAGCTTCTCGATCTGGCTGACATCACTCACGTTGGCCTTGATGGCCACCGCATCCCCGCCGAACTTCTTGATGGCCTGCACAACATCGTTGGCCGAGATGTCGCTGGTGGCGTAGTTGACAATCACCCTGGCACCACGACGTGCTAGCTCGAGAGCCATGTCTCTCCCAATTCCGCGGCCTGGAGTCCACAAGGGATGATATCGTCAGTCTTTTCCGGCCCTACATAAAAGATGGTGGTGCACGAGGGGGGTACGCTGTGGTACATGAATGCGCAGGCCCTGACTGGACCAATAACACGTTACGCAGCTACGCCTTGCATCCGCACCCTGCAGTGAGAGTGTTGTCGGTGTCCAAGGGGTAGAATGCCATTGTGTTGTGTTTTGAATTGTTTTTGGAAAGGGACTGAGATGAATGGATTGGGGAAAAAAAGAAAGAGGGCGTCGCCGGAGCGGAACATGGGGAAATCGGACGTTGGGTTGGGGTAAAGCTGACATCCCGTCCGGTGCGGGAGCTCCCTTCCACCCCTTGTCGATCATGTTTATCCCCTTGCAGCCAGCATAGCTTGGCACGACATGACATCCCATACGAGATAAAGATAACAACCACAACGACAATAACGAAAAGGAACACGTACCGGCACCAGTCACGAGCGCTACCTTGCCATCAAGCTTGGAAGACTGACTACCCAGGGGACCTGGGATCTGGTCATACTTGCTAGTACCGGACGGGGCTGTTACACCGGGCATCTTGGCGGCGGCTGGAGTGGCTTTGATAGTGGAAGTATTTGTCGTGCTTGAGCTGTTAGAGGAGACTGGTACTGTCTGCTGTTTCTTCTCTGTGGTGTTGGCTTTGTTAGACGAGAAGTGGCACAGGAGACGGTCGAGAAAAGCAGGGAGTGTCATTGAAGCTGCAAACTGGGTGGGACAGGTTGCCTACTGACAGTCGAACAGGGCCGTCTGTGGTTGGAATGGTGAATCTTGGTTGTTGGCGTGAGCCGGAAGAAGATTTCTGGAGTATGTTTCCCGGGGAACAGGACATTCTTATATGCATTCCCTTTCGACTGTCTGTGGTTAGTAATGTGAGACCATATACCTGCCGGCTTTGTGTCTGTCCGTCCCAGGGCAGAAGTGGCGATAGCATCGTGATCTTGGCGGTTTGCCGGACTGCGTTGGAGTAATGCCGGTTGTTGCAGTCACTTTACGCGCGAATGAGCGCAACACCGCATTGAGGCGTCAGCCCAAGAAACCGAATGATTGTAGCTTCTTCATTGGTACACGGACTCATCCTGAGATGATCAGGTCTCGTCCACCCTAGGTGGGCCAGGGAAGAGTTGCTGAATATAGGGAGATATCAATTTTCTCACTGCAGGATGCGGATATCTGACAGCTGATGCGAGCACGGCAAGCTTAGAACGATCTTCAGATGATTGAGACGGGAACCTGCCGAAGAAGGATGTTCTGGCTGAACACAGCCCCCTCTTCGATCTGTAAAGGAATCCCTGATTTGGATCTGTAGACACACAGCTTTGCCCTCATTCCACGGCGGCATCCCTTTCGAGAGTTGTTGTCGTGGCAGGCCCATGCCCCTGCTGTGTGTTAGTGTTAGTGCAAAGCAGGTACTCACGCAAAATCACTAACAGGCAGCTGCCCTACAACAGCCCCCTGAAGCATCCTGCATTCCGGAGGTCTGATGCCCCAGCTCACATCACTTCCACTTCCGCTTCCAGTGCACGGAGACTGAAGTCTCCCAATTGATGCTCTTATACATACCTTACCATAGTGTACAGGTCGTTTCTTCCTCGATCTGAGCTTCTTTCAGAGGTCGTGGAGAGATTAATGGTGCAACACTGCCGTCGAGATGCTTCATGTCAAGCTCGGACCCGGACGCACTTCCCGTCCGCAGTACCGGTAACAGCCCATGTGAATTTGGCAGGAGACCCTGTGGGCAGTTATCGGCATCGTGCATACCTTGAGAGATACCTAGAGGTATCGCAGGGCTTGCCGCACTCTCGCACCGGCCCCTGCAAGTGAGGGCGTTGACAAAGCAGTTTATGTACAGGGCTTTAGGCACGCCGGTCACGGATGACTAGTCGCAGCCCTGCAGGCACCACCGCACGTTCCTGGTGTTGATCATGACACCTGCGCAAACTGCACTCGGTCCTTCCTCATGATTGATGCCCAAAATCATACCGTGAACGGCATTGGATCGGTCTTTCGCCAGAACCACTTTCGCATAAACAATGGCACCTGCAAATCTGGTCACACCTCGTGCCAGTTCCCCCAGCTCCGGACCGCCTGGGTGCTTGCGGAAACCGAAGCCCACACCCACCGGACATCCGAGTCGGAGATTCAGCTCCCGTTCGTCACGGACTACACCAGCCGCCAAGAGTAAAGGGCGTATTCGGTGCCCCGTTTTTTGGGCCTGGAAATGGGCTTTTGGAAGGCCATCCGGAAATAGTTTGGAAGTGATCTCTTTCCAAGTCGGATATCCAGAGGTCTGGAAGTTGTCTTCGGAAATCTTGGGCCAAAGTAATTATCTGATTGGTCAAATAGCGTTGTGGTGGAGTAAACGATTTCCGAGTCTTGGTAGTGTCGGATTTCTGCCTGGAAGACTTCCGAATGATTTGAAGGAAAGAAAACAGAGGAGAGGACGGAGATGTTACAGAGAAAGATGAAAGAAAGAGAGAAAAAAAAAAAGAGAAAAAAAAAAACATACAACACCAGGGATTCGCTGGTCGTCACCGACCCAACTACTAGTCTGGCCCTCAGTGCTCTTATCTATGGGAGCGGAAAGGACAGGAAACAGGTCTTTTAATCACGTGGTAGGGTCAAAAAACTGAACTTCCTGTTCCGCAGCCCTGCCCCGTATGCATTAACTAGTATACAAAGGCGTTGGCGGCTGCGCCAACCATGTGTTGCAAGCTAACCACTATGGTTACGACATGCCAAAACAA